GGCGGCAGAGAGAAAGAGGAGAGAGATGTGTGTTTGTAGAATTGTAGGGGAATGTGTGTGTTGTTATCCCTCCTACATTGTGCCTTTATTTATAGTAGTAAAGGGAGAGAAGATATTCCTTCTTCTCCAAGTAATACAAGTTGTAATAGGAAAGGATAACTAGAATCAAATCTTATCTAGGATTTACACAATCATACTTAAACTAGGAATGTTTACAACATGTGTGTATATATATATAAAAAAAAAAATTCCTTTTTTTTGTACTCATGTTAATCTGCAGTAATTTAGGTCTTTTAGGGGGTTTTTTTTGTTGTTGTTTTCCAATTAACAACTACTACTACACCTTAGGGACAATTAAACAACCACATTCTCAAATCCATATTAAAAAATCATGTAACTTGTAATAGTTAGGACTTAGAAATTTGCGATTGCGATGGTACATAAGCTATTAATATAAATTTAATAGAACATAGATGGAACTGAAAGACTTATTTTACCATGCGGATTTAGTCGTTTTAATTGATTTCTAAATAATTTTAAAATGCATGTGTTAAATTGTGCGTTACGATTTCTAAAACCACAATGGAACGCATACATTTTTGCTTGTTTCTCTAAATTTTAGTGAGGAGCTCATTTAGGGACTCTTAACCACCAAATAATTTATGACATTTTTGCTTGTCTCTCTAAATTTCATAAACAAAAGAAAATGACCAAGTGGCTCAAAGGAATTTTTGAGTGTGACGATCAGGTCACAGCATGGCGGTGGTGAGTGTGAGTTAGGCCATCTCTAACCGAAGGGTCCAGAGGGCCAGAGGGCTGAAAATAGCCCTAAAACCGTCTCCAACCTAGGGCTAGGCCAGAGGGCTCGGGAATCTGGGAAGGCCCCACAGAATTTCAAAGGGCCAAAGGGCTGGTTGCTTTCGGTCAGCCAGCCAGCCCCGAGCTGGCTATTTTTTTTTTTTTATAGTTTTCTCATTGCTGTCGGTTATAATCGACATCATTAAAGAAGGATTTTTTAATACTGTCGGTTATAACCGACAGTAATAATTATTCAAAGGCTTTTTTTTTTTGAATTACTATTAGTGTCGGTTATAACCGACACTAATAGTTTGAATTTTTTTTAATATAACGGCTAGTAGCTATTGTATTAACTTGTTTTTTTATATGAATTTAAACTTCTTTTTTTCCCTTTTTTTTCCTTTTCATATGAATCAAATTTTGTTTCATATATTTTTTCAATTCTATTTTACAAAATTTGTTTCAATTTTTTTTAAAATTCTATTTTTTTTCCTATAACTTCTATTTTACAAAATTTGTTTCATATTTTTTTTTAAATTCCATTTTTTTCCTATAACTTCTATTTCACAAAATTTGTTTCAATTTTTTTTTAAACTCTATTTTTTTTCCTAGAACTTCTATTTTACAAAATTTGATTCATACTTTTTTTTTTCATATAACTTCTATTTTACAAAATTTGTTTCATATTTTTTTAAATTCCATTTTTTTCCTATAACTTCTATTTCACAAAATTTGTTTCACATCTTTTTTTAATTCTATTTTTTTCCTATAACTTCCTAGGCCATTATACAACATTAAATTAAATTAAGTAACATGAAACAACATTAAACAATATGAAACAACATTAAATAACATTAACCAACATACAAATTATACAACATGAAACTTAAGCAACATTTTTAAAAACATTTAACAACATAAAACTTAAGAGCCTACTCCATGCTTCTTTTGGCCCAAAGATGTGCAACAAGATCTTGTTGTAGGTACTTATTTGTGGCACGAGAACGTATCATTCTATATCGCCTCATGTACTCATTTATAGAGATACTATCAGTTCTTGGATTGAAAGACAAATTAGGCCCATCATATATTTTTGCTAGAGCCCTTCTTGACCTATTTGGATCTTCTTGGTCGACATCGGACTCTCCATCAATATACCCATCTCGCTCATCCTCCACTATCATATTGTGTAATATGATGCAAGACATCATGATGGAGTTCAAATTTTCTTGACTCCACCCTCTTGCCGGTTCGCTGATGATCTTCCACCGTGCTTGTAGAATACTGAAAGCTCTCTCAACATCTTTCCGGTATGCCTCTTGGTGTAAGGTAAACAACTTTTCTGCGTCATTCCTAGGGTTTGGAATTGCTTGGACAAGTGTCGCCCACTTTGGGTAGATGTTATCTGCCAAGTAATACCCCATACTGTATTCACGGCCGTTGATGTAGTAGTCAAGTTGAGGTGCTTTACCTTCCGTCAAGTTATTGAAGAGGGGTGAACGCCCAAGAACTGTAATGTCATTTTGGGATTCAGGGACTCCAAAGAAAGCATGCCACATCCATGTGTCATATGAGGCAACTGCCTCTAACACAACAGTTGGCTTTCTCGACCTTCCGCTAAAGCCTCCTTGCCATCCAGTGGGACAGTTCTTCCAATCCCAATGCATGCAGTCTAATGACCCTATTATGCCTGGAAACCCACGGTCTTCAGCTTTGCGAAGAAGCCGATTCAGATCTTCTTCATTTGGTTCTCGGAGGTACTTGTCTTTGTAAACTTGAACAATTGTGTCACAAAATTCTTCAAGAGTATTAAGGTATGTAGACTCAGACATACCATGGGTTTCATCCATCAAATCAGCTAAGGAGCCATAGGCTATCATTCGGAGTGCAACAGTAACCTTCTGATGAGGTGAGAAACCAGGGCAGCCTGCTCTATCCCGCTTCTGTCGAAAGTATGGATTGACTTGCTGGACATCACGAAGTAAACGCTCGAAGACATGACGCCTCATCCGGAAGCGACGTCTGAAATCCTCTTCTGTGTACACCGAGTTAGGGTTGAAGTAATTGTTCATCAAATTGGCATGCGCCATCGCTCTGTTTCGTGGTTTGTAAGAGTGACCAGCAACAGAGCCACCCCATTGAGGTTGTTCCTCAGTTGACTGACACACCATGGCCGCAGCCATAGCTGCTGCCATGTTTTGTTTGTTGCGCCTTACTTGAACTTCTTCATCAGACTCCTCATCTTCTTGTCTCATTTGCGCCCATTTTGCTTCCAATTTGGAATTGGATGAGGACCCCCAATTGGAATTGGATGAGGATCCAAAGTTGGAATTTATTGCAAACTTGAATTGAAAGAGATTGAATTGCAAGAGATTGAATTGAAATAGATTGAATTCAAAGTTATGTGAATTATAGCCCAATATCCACCCTATTTATAGCAAAAAAAAAATTCAAATCCAACGGCTAGCTGACGTCATGTTGACGTCACTAAGCCGTTGGATTTGAATTTAAATTGTAGTTTTTAAATAATAAATTATGTTTAGCCCTATGGCCCTTTGGCTCTCGGTTGGAGACGGTTTTTTGTGACAGGGCTAAAACGAGCCATGTGGCCTTTGGCCCTTGGTTGGAGACGGAGGCAAATATAGCCATGTACTGTTCATTAAAATATTAATATCTTGGGGAATCTTGGAGGGCCAGAGGGCTAAAACGAGCCCTCTGGCTAGCCCTCGGTTATAGATGGCCTTAAAGACCCAACACAAATTTCATAGGAAAACACAGAACGGAAAATTAAAAATAAAAAAAGCCAAAAGGATACAAAGTCAATGGTACAAGCAGAGCTATGTTTTAACAACAGGAGAGCTTGGAGGTACCTCGCACATACCAGTGTTGTGTACTGTAAGATGCCGAAAGCTGCTGAGTTTTCTTTCTGCCGGCAAGCCGTTGGACGAAAGTCCCAAACTAGTTTCTTCAAAAAGACACTGTGAAATGGACGATTTCACAAATCAAATTTTGCTCACTCGCAACCTCAACTTGATAATTATAGTTCCTCTCCACCATGATCAAATTTATAAGGATCTGAACGGGTGTTAGTCTTAAGTGTTGATGAAGAAGAGGAGGTGGGATATAATCATGCTACCAGAGAAGATCAAGAAGAAGGACGATATATTTTTGTTTCTCTTTTCTGTTTTTGGTAAAAGCGGGTGGGGAAGCCCTAACAAACCAACATTTACTGATAAAATTCAGCAAACAATAATGCATAGCTTTTTGAAAAGTACGCACGTGTATAGTATGCGTTTTTCACGAAAATTCATCAATCATTTTCCTACTCAGGTCATACTCACAAAAGGGTGACTGACTATAATGCAAATGTAAAGATTCAATCATAAATTTCATTAGCCCATCCTTCCACTGTTCTAAAAATCCCCGCCTAGCTCCGCCTAGGCCCCGCCTAGGCGCTAGGCCCCAGCCCACCACCCCGATTAATGCATAAGCCCCAGCCCACCACCTAGACCACCTAGACACCCGCCTAACCCACCTAGGCACCCGCCTAGATCCGCCTAGGTTGCAACTCACTTAGACAGAAAATACATAACTTTCATTTTGCATTTTGTTTTTTTTCCAATAAATTGTAAGAGACTTGTTGCATACTTGAATGAACAAACATTATATCCTTATTTCACATGTATTCATTATGTTCTAATACTTCATGATATATATGCATTCTATTTTGTATGATGAAATTATATATATTTCAAGTAGAAGCAGACACTTATTTACCTGAAATATGATAGATTTACTTAAATTCACCTAGTCCGCCTAGCCGCCTAGGCGCTAAGCCCCAGCCCGCCGCCCGACTAGCGCCTAGCGACTTTTAGAACCTTGCTTCCTTCTAATAATACACTAGTACAAAAAGACTTTGCGCGACGTAGGACCTTCGTCGCGCAAAGTCAAAAATACGTCGCCCAAAAATTAGCGAAACGAACCTTCGTCGCGCAAGAACTGTCGCGCGAAGGCAGTGAAGGAAGGGTTTGCGCGACGCAGGACCTCCCTACGTCGCGCAAAGCTACTTTGCGCGACGTAAGGAGGTCCTGCGTCGCGTAAAGTTTTTTTTTTTTGTGTCATTTATATTTTTTTATTTAATTTTTAATAAATATTATAATTAAATTATTGAATATTATAATTAAATGCTAAACAATAATTAATAAACCAAGAAAAAGTAATTAATTATAGAATATATGAAAATGTACGTTTGTCCGAACAAAAAAATAAAAAACTACAAGTCTTCTAAGTTTAATACATCATGCTACTCGGTATCGTCTGGGCGAAATGGCTGGGAAGTCCAAGGTGGAGCAACATTAGGTGCTGGCATCGTCGGGATTTGGAGGCCGGACATCGCTAAGGCCTGAAGAATCATATTCATCCTCTCGCCCTGGGCCGCAACCTGACCTCTTAGGGTTGTCACTTCCTCCTTCAAGGAATTTGACCTCTCCTGTGGACAATCTGGAAGAAGAGGCACCCGTTTCACGAACCCCCGCCTTCCCCGTACACCGAACAACCTTACCATGACGACGACCGAACTTCTGATCCAGGACCTCAGTCACGATCTGAACATCTGCATCCTTGGGTACAATGATGTCCTCAATCGGGGTCTCCGGGGGAAGCTGTGATGTTGCTTCTTGGAGAATAGCAGTGCTCTTTTCCACCATATCACCCTGTAATAATAAAGAAAAAACATATAATGTTTAATAACAAAATATAAATAATATTTGAATGATTCATAAAAATAAGAAAAATAACAATTACATATACTTACATAAAGCTGGTCACTGTTCTCATTGTTGGGATGAACGTAAACCTGCTTGAACAGGTCAATCTGTGGGAACTTAGAACCCTCCTAAAGAAAAAAAAAACATTAAGAAAAATTTATTAATCAATAATAAAAAATAAATTGTATAAAATTTCAAAATTAATATACTTTTACCTCACGTCGTGCCTCAACCCTATACGAAAAGGGCTTCGAACCGGAATGGTGGAGAAGTGTCTTTGAGTTCCGAGCTTTCTTGCTATCAGAATAATTGACAACTAGTTTATAAGATATTGATAAAGTTTGTCGGTTTACAATAATAACTAGAATCTTAATTTGTTAGGAAGCAAACATAATGTTTATATTCTGAAAGATCTCAAGAGTGGGGTTCTAATGAGAACACGAGCAGGGCAGCCAATCTTCTCGAAACTGAATGTTTTGAGAAGCAAAAGTTTGCTACTAATTGAGATAATTAGATACCTTCTTCAGTTGTTGAGTTGGTGCTCCCACACCAGATAGCCTCTCTAATCCTTGGAGGTGCAAAGGTCGGCCCTTGAAGAAACGAGGAGTTATGTCCAAGAGGAACTCCAAGAAGAGATGTGGATGCCACAGCTCCTCCTAAAGCACGCACAAGCTCTCCCTGCACAAAACCAAAGAACAAAATAGAATACCTCAGTTCAAATAAATAAACTTTAACAGCTTAATACCAATACAATACAGAAGCAGCACTCTAAAGCAAAAATTGGCAAAAGTTGGGTTGTTGAAAACAATAACAAGAGTTAGGATTACCTTTTCAGATTGAATACATACGAGTGAGATACTTCAAGCCAAGACAGAGACAACATCACATTACCAGCGAACCGAAAGCCAATAGATTAGGAGACTGCTGCAATCTGGAAACACAAGAATGAATTAAAACTACTATTTTGCACCTTTTACCACCTCTAACCTTCCATCCATTAAATCATGTTTTAAGAAATGTAGACGAGTATTTAAATTTTAGCGACCTTTCAGGATTTAGGACAAACAATTGTATAGTCTTCTTTAAGCAAAGTAGGCAAAAATTAGGGTCATTGAAAACGGAATAGGAAAAAAAAAAGAAAAAGTTACTCCTAGCTTGCCAAAGAAAGTTAGGATCAAGACCAACCAAAAGCCAGACGTCCATATGATATGATCCTGCAAAGCCAAAAAAAAGGTCAGTAATTGAGAACACCGGGAAAACTATTCTGGTAGAAGGACGCTACAACAAATTGGAAGATTTAGGATCCAAGCAATGACATGGAAGAGGCATAATGAACCAACTGCTCCACTTTGAATACTAAAATTCAATAGTTAGGCAAGACCATAATAGTGCCTGCAATAATAAGACTAACAAAAACTAAACAAACTTCGGATACAAAATTTTGAATCCTTTATGCAAATCCATGGATTAATTGGAGAAAATAAAGGAATTAAAAGTTAAAAGTTAAAACTACTAGAGTGCAGAACAATACGATAGCTACCCTCATAACAGTATTCTGAAATCGAACTCTTCTAACTAAACCACCTTTTCATCTAATCTCAGTGACCAGCTTTTCAGCAAAGAAAGCATATTCGCTTCTATAATCCAACTCTTCTAACTAAACCACCTTTTCATCTAATCTCAGTGATTCTATTTTGAGAAACAAGTAACATTATTGCATTCAGAAGTAACCTTTTCATCTAATCTCAGTGATTAATATTCCTTTTTTCATCAAATCTCACTGATTAATTTCAAAATGAGGGTCGGGGCTCCAACTATAACAGTATTCTGAAATCGAAGAGAGAGGATGAGAAATTTTTACCTCTGGGTGTGTCGACTTCAAGATCGGAGGTTTGGCCTTTGGATCCGCTCGTGTGCAGCCTGATTCTTGCGAGATTTTGGCTCACTTTCTAAGACGTAAACCTACATCGCGCAAAGATGGGAAAAAGCGGTAATTTCTTAGGGTTTGGCGCCAAAAGTTTGCGCGACGAAGGACTACGTCGCGCAAAACGGCTTTGCGCGACGTAGTCCTTCGTCGCGCAAACTAACGTCGCGCAAAGTCGTTTTGCGCGACGTAAGTACACCTACGTCGCGCAAAACGGCTTTGCGCGACGTAATTTTATGCGTCGCGCAAGTTTTCGTCGCGCAAACATGTTTTTGTACTAGTGATATTTTCTCTACTTATAAGTAAAAAATTTTAAATTTGACTCTAATTCTATGTCAGTTATGGCTGGCTAATTATATATGATATAACCTTGATCTTACGCCGATAATATCATTATAAAAAAATAATAATTAAGAAAAAAGACAATTCAATTATTAAAAGGACTTGTAACTCTAAGTGCTAAAAGCATGCCGAGCCCCCTCTCCTAACATCGATTGTTTAAAAATGAAATTATTTAATTCAGATTTGAATAGAGGAAAAATCAATCTGCATGAACAAAGTAAAATTGAAAAAACCTCTTCATTTACAAATTTGACGTTTTGGGGGTATCAGTTAAAGATGATGGGCTTCTCTTTTTCTCAGGAGCATTTTTGCTTGAGAATATTTTTATTCAATGCTATCAAGTAATGGTTATGTTCATAACCTTTTTTTTTTCTTTTATATAGAAAAAATATGTATAATGAAGTGGTGAGCATTACTATTACTCGAGAAAGGTGAGTAAAAATGCCCCGAACTTAAACATGATGTTTGTAACCTACACACCTTCAGCTTGACACCTGTTCTCCGTAGTCCACATGACTCTAATTAACTTTTACTATTATTAATATTTTTATGTCATAATTCCAAAATCTAACCGTCCCTTTCTCCCTCGCTCTTCCAACATCCTTCCGTCTCTCTCTCCAATCAATTCTCTTTATTTGAAATGGTGATGTCGTTCACATACTCGTTTTTACTTCTTACACATCCTTCTTAATTTTTGAACATCGAATCAAATGAATTGAAAAAAAATAAATGAACAAATGCTATGTAGAAAGTAAAAAAATAGTGTGTATAGCGCCACCCATTTGGAAACTATTGCTAATCCAAGATCCCAAATCATCTAAATTGGGGGGTATGAATATATATGGAGGGGTGAATGATAGATGAGAAGCGACCCCACCCAAATCATCAAACATTTGGACAAATCTCACACCACTTGGTTCGAGTCGATCGCGTTTCGTGTAAAAATTTCATTGGAAAGTTGCGGGGGAGTTTAATTTTTCTTATTTTTGTTTGATTTATATGGCTCTACCGGACAAAGTGAGAGAGCGATTGAGGAGATATAGTGTGTTGTGTCACGGTCTTTGTAAGTGTCCATTACTAAAACTGTCATGTGTCGATATTGACCTCATTTAACCACCTAGACCCAATCCCCTAAATGTTTCTCTAACTCAACCAAACATACTGTTATGCATGGCCTACAGTTGTATAAATAGAAGCCTTGAGTTATTCACCTTCGATGCACCCACCAAGCCGACATGCATTTACTACAAAGTGAAGACTCCCCTTCCTATAAGATTAAATGAAGTTACGAACTAACCACTTTAACACACAACAGCTCCCATTATTACATAGCTCTAATAATAAATCCACGGCATGCATTTTCGTATGCAAGTCAAACGCAGCTGCTACCTTTTGTTTGAAGGCATACAATCATGTCTTCTCATTGAAGGCTTACGCGTACACCAACACAAGTTGGTCTTCAATTGTTCAATGCACATGACACATAGGCTGGTTTGATATTGCTGTGCTTTGAAAAAAAAAACTGTTTTTGTTGTGATGTGAGAATAAACTCATTTTTGCTATTTCACATTTTCAGCTTTTTTTTTATCCAAAACTGTGAAAATAGGCTGTTTTTAAGTGTTTACCAAACACCATTTTTTGAGTTTAGTTTTTTTTTTATATCCACTTTTTATAAAAGCACCTCAGTACCAAATACATTTTTAAGCTGTTTTTAACTAATGACAAATATATGAGCCAAATCTCAACGATTTTCCACCTTGGCGAATGTACCATGCAAAAATCCTTGCATCCATCCCAAAATACGCCTTCAAACACATACCAGCATGCACACCCTGAATCAGTTATGTCTGGATTCACAATATACAGCCAATGCATGTGCAGCTGTTGCAAGCTAAAAATCGTCATTTAGCTTCAGACAAGGGTCTCGACATACCCTCGTCTCGACCAACAGGATTTCTCCCTCATCATTATCTACAACCTGAAAACTGGTCAGCGCGCTCGTTTCCAGAAACAACCCATCGAGTTCGTGGTTCTACCACCCAGGCAATATACACCACACTTCCTCCTTTCCCCCAGGAGCATCGCTTTGTCCACGTGTCTTAACCTCATTAGGTGGTATTCTTTTTTTTAATAAGGTTCTATTCAGATTTTTTTCTTCTTTGTTTGGAGAGATGGTTGTGCTTCGGTCGAAGCGTCATTGGAGGGAGGAGGACAGAGGGACTGACAGATTGGAGAGAGATGGGAGCTAGGGGTTTCGACTCAGTGAGAGAGATTTAGCTAGGTCCTCTGCCATAACCTATGGGATTTCCTCCAATTTTAGAGAGAGAGGGAGGGGGGAAGGCATGGTTGTGTGCAGTTTGTGGGGTTAGCCGGTCAGGAAGGGGTGACTGAGGGAGGTATGAGAGAGTTTGATTTTTCGGTTTCCTCCCTTAATTCAAAAGGTGATGCACTGTTTTTAAGCCATTGTTTAGTGCCAATTCAACTTTATTTTTCAGTTTATTGTTTTTAATTCATTATTTAATGTTTGATTTGCCATCTGCTTCAAATTGTCATAGATTTTTTTTTCCTTCATTAAAGTTGTCATAGATTTTTTTAGATTGTTTAGTTCATCAGCAATTTATTGTTTTGCCTGGTGGAAAAGTCCATTCTTGGTGTATCCTCCGACGCAAATTTAAAAATGGTTTCTTGACTGTTCAGTTTGTGAACATCCTTTACTACTTTCTAAAGCTCATTTTCTTTATTTTAGCTCCAGACCGACTTACTCCACTCTCTCTCTCTCTCTGTGATTCTGGGTTCTGTACGTTCTGCCATTTTTGCTTCTGAAGATACCTAATTGCAGGTTCCTTCTCCATTTCCAAGCTTCTGTTATGCTTTGTGCTGCTGTATTTTCTGTTTTTAATGAGGCTCGATTGAAATATGCATCAATTTGATTGAAACATGCATCAACTTGATTGATTATGCTACTGTATTTTCTCTTTTTCTCTTTTTAATGAGGCTTTATGCTACTGTACCAAAATGATGAAATATTCATTTTTAATGATAGTTTTATAATTGGATATGTTTTAATTTGATCAGTGTGATTTTTTGTGGTTAGGATTTAGGACCTTGGTAACTTGATTGATTAGGAATTTGTGTGTTTATCTCCTGATCAGTATTCAAATTTAATTCATATAAGTCCCTTTCTTAAGAGGGATCTATTTTGATAACAAACAAGACCTTGCAATTGTTGCATTCTTCATTTTCTTGAATTTCTTTGGTTTTTGATGGGTGATTGAGTGGTGTTTGATTGAGAAATTTGCGGATTAGGGTTGGGTTGGGGTCTGTTTGGTTGCCTGGAAATTTGGGAAAGAAAATGGGATCATGGGATTAGGATTTAGGACCTTCGTAACTTGATTGATTAGGAATTTGTGTGTTCATCTCCTAATTAGTGTTCAAATTTAGTGCATATAAGTCCCTTTCTTAAGAGGAATCTATTTTGATAAGAAACAAGACCTTACAACTGTTGCATTCTTCGTTTTCTTGATTGTAAAGTCTCTGTTCCATGTCACATATATTAATAGGATGCTTAGGTAATTGTAGGAGAAGTTATGCATGCAGTCTTTTGGCAATCCTTTCCCAGAACATGTAGTAATCCTGATATGAGTCTAACTCTGCCTTGGTCATAGCTCAACATGGAAACATTATGGAATATCTTCTTTATAAGCGTTTCTAGGCTCCAGCCTCCTCTTTTTTAGCAGACTTATCTAATATATAACAAAGCATGTTCTACTAGAGCTCAAATCAAACAAAGAGACGGAAAATCAAATACACCATAAATAAAAAAAAAAGTGGATTTATTTTTATTAAGATGTATGGAGGAAAGGTTTTAGTCACTTAGAATTGGGTTAAATTAACGATGTTATGTAGTGATACTAATTTGATGCTTACTTGCCCTGCAATCAACTCAGTGTTTAAGGATTAAGTATGTTTCCCACTTCCCAGGTCTAATTCGATCGCCTGCATGTAACAATAGTTAAAGTTGGGGACTGGACAATTAATTAATTATAATTTATTTATTGTTTGTAATTGCCTCCATAAGTGTGGTTACAAGTTGAGCCTTTTCTTTGTTTTTTTCCGTTGAAGCTTTCCAGGGCTTCTTTGTATTCTTTTTCCCGTTTGTTGACAAATAAGATCATGTTTATTTTTCTTCTAATTTTTTAGTATATATACATAAAATGGGTGTAGCGGAGATGAGGATGCTTCGTTGGATGTGTGGCACACGAGAAATGATAAGATTAGGAATGAGGATATCCGAGGTAAAGTAGGAGTAGCCGAAATTGAAGGAAAGATGAGAGAAAACCGGTTACGGTGGTTTGGACATGTGCAAAGAAGGCCTATTGACGCTCCGGTTCGAAGATGTGACTACGGGACAGAGGTTCAGGGCCGAAGGGGTAGAGGAAGACCTAGGAAAACTTTGGAAGAGACCCTAAGAAAAAACTTAGAATACTTGGATCTAACGGAGGACATGACACAGAACTGAGCGCAATGGCGTTCTAGGATTCATATAGCCGACCCCACTTAGTGGGAAAAGACTTTGTTGTTGTTGTTGTAGTGATGAATGAGGAGTGTGAGTGCAAATTCTAGGTTATGGGGAAGCATTAGTATTTGGAGGCACAAATTCTTTTCTACCATTATTTCAAATGCTCTCTAACTTAGAGGCATTAATAATTTATTTAACTACATGATTCCCCATGTACCTAATTTTCCACTACTGTTATTTATAATTGGGGTAGAGATTTTTAAAATTAGATTTAGACCTACTATAATTAACAACTCATGCAAAAATTATTTAATTAAGCACCGAATATTTTGTCCTATATGTCTTACTAGGACAACCAATGTGGTTTACACATCACATATTGAGAACTGGAAAGGAGAATGCCAACATGTAGGTTGGGGAGCACATTCATTTTCTGTATAAATTTTCCGTCACCAAATATAGGTTGGAGAGCATGATCATTTTCTGTTTGCACATCACAATGTTTGTTTTGAGTACTTTTCGCGCCATTGAGGCACAAATGTTCTTTCTACATTAGTTAATTTTCTTTATATCAAAATTGAATAAATTTAATTTTCCTTTGTATCCAAATGTATTAAAGTAATTGTGATTGAAGTTTGTTTATGTCTGCTTTCCAAGATTTATTTTTTGGTTACTAGATATCTTACTCCGTTTACGAGTGCTTTTTAGTTAACTAAAAGAATGCTTTTCATTCTTCGGTTTTCAGGATTTCATTTACCGTTTACAAGTCAACCGCACAATGCCAAAGTACAAGAAAAGCGAAGATTTGAGATAATTTTTGCTCTAAGTTCTTTGGATTTTATATTCTGGGTTAATTATCAACCGGTTTCTGTTACCAGATTTAGAATTATAATTTGGTACCACTGCTGCCACCTGCCACTTGAGTTTTCACATCCTAATGGCACAAAAGCACAAAATGGTAATTTTAAATTCTAGGTTATGGGTAAGCATTATTATTTGGAGGCAAAAATTCTTTTCAGCCACCGAACAAAGTTCAAAATCTTTTTTCGCATGGTATAAATTAGGCTAAAATATCATTAGAATACCAAAAAAAAAAAAAAAAGGTTCTCTTTATCTCATTGTTTCTTTGGTAGTTTTCTAGAAATGAGGTTGAAAGGTTGCACTACTTCTTTACTCCAAATATATGCACATCCTTATAATCTTTAGACTATATAAAGCAAAGAAACATCATGATATTGCTAATGGATTTGCTATGTTTTGGAATTTCAGGAATTTCGATTGTTGGAGGGAGAAGTTGGTTCCTTGGCATTTTGAGGTATATAATTATGTACCCTGTTTTTATTCAAGCACTATTTTAAATGTATGATTGGTTTGTGTGAAATGAATGAAAAAGAGAGTTAGAATACCCTGTTTTGGATCACTGTGTGTGTTATTTGAAAAAGAGAGACATGAATGATCGGTGTGTGTGTGTTATTTGTTCAAGGAGACATCCTTATTTGGATTTTCTCGCAAGCCTATTTTATATACCCTGTTTTTATACAAAGCTGCTGCCGTTTGAATATGATTCGTTAAAACGTGCTATCATCAACAATTTGCATGAAAAACAGATTTCACTTTGTTTTCTTCACTCAAGGTGCTTTTCAACGCTGTTTCTAAGCTATTATTTTCATTACTGTTCTGTAAGTTAGTGCTAATGGATTTGCTATGTTTGCGATTTTCAGAAATTTGGATCGTTGAAGGGAGCACTTGGCCCTTTGGCTTTTAAGGTATATTTATTTACGGTGATTTTGTGACTATGTTGTTACATTTTATTCATGCACGTTGGGACTGGATTTGGCTATATAATTGTGGCATCCTTTGACTATTTATGACTATGATAACGGTGGAATGTGTAATTGCTATCTCTTAAGTTGGTATAATGTTAATGGTTTGCAGATGCTTAGCAGACTATCAATGAAATTGCTGTCAATAAAATTGCTATCGATGAAATTGGGAAAGAAACTTGGGAAGATAATGTTAATAGTTTGCAGATGCTTAGGAGAGTATCTGAAACTGCTTAAATTTTATATATTGAGTTGCATAAAGTCCACTAACATACACAACCACAGTCAAATTGCCACCCTTAGTTGGTGGTAGTATCTTTGCAATGGATTTAAAGTGGGGATTTAGAAAATCTAATAATAAAACTGAATTATATGTACCATGCTTTTCGTTTTCATTTTGGGTTAAAAGGTTGGAGCTTTGGATTGGGATTTTCCTTTATTAAACTATAATTTTGTGCTTAGGACTTAGGAGGCTATATGAAACTGCTTAATTGTTTTTTAAACAGGAATTTTTTTTTACTGTAATCTGTTTTGTTAAAGGTAATGATAATGATTTATCAATTTTGTTTGTTCAGGGGGTTTAGGAGCAGAACCCTGATGAGACCTTCAGTGTGAAAGCCTTTTGATTTCATAAGTCACAACAAAATTGAATACCAAATGAATAAAAATCTGGCCATAAATGCACCACTTCTTTACTCCATATTTATGCACATATCTCCCAATATATATGCACTGATTAGACCTTAAGGAGGTTACGATATGTTTCCCAATTATTAAACAAACTGAGATAGCTTAACAAGTTAAGTCCGATATCAGGCTCAATTGTAGGTTGCCTTTAATTATTATATCTTTATAAGAAACATTAGCTTATATGTGCACTAAGTAAACTAAGGCCATCTATTATAAGTTTTCCTATGTCTTTTATCTCTTTACAGTGTATGTGTTATTTTTGTCTGATTGGCGTTTCCCCTATATTTCCGTATGTTTTCTATGTCTTTATATGTGCACTAATTAATTTGATCAGTGTGTGTCTATTATTTGTGTCTAATTGGTGTTGGGTGTTTTCCAATTTGGGGTCTTTATTTACTTAGTGTGCAATCCAGTGTCCTATCTGGTTAGAGAGAACATAATGTTTGACAATATGAAGTCTGATATCTGATTCAATCTGGTTCTGTAGATATGCTGAATAAGTAAGGATTGTTTGTTGATTTAGTTGCATATCGAGTATCTAGAGATTGTCTTTTATCAGTAGATGATTAATTGTAGATGAAATGCCCCTTAGTAGAAGGAAATGAAGGTGCATTAACAAGAAAAATCAAGATAATGTGTACACTAGTGGATTAGTTTTTTAGCTGTCCGTTGGTGTCCAACCTGATGCAAGCATCTTTTGAAGTGTGTAATATCTTTGCTTTCAACTTTTCAAGTTAATATTCAGCACAAATGCAAACTCAGACACACATATTGTAAAATATACACAGATGTCACGGTGGATGTTAATGCTTTATCTCACAAATGCACCACTTCTTTACTCCATATATATATATGCACATCCTATATATTTCAATCTTTAGACTAAATAAAGCAAAGAAACATCAAGAAATTGCTAATGGATTTATTATGCTTGGGAATTTCAGGAGTTTGGATCGTTGGAGGGAGAAGTTGGTTTCTTGGCATTTTGAGGTATATAATTATATGCCCTGTTTTTATTCAAAGCCTATTTTAAATGTATGATTGGTTTGTGAGAAATGAATGAAAAACAAAAACAAGGGGACATCATTATTTTTGGATATTCTCCTCCGAAATAGAGAGTTAGACCTCATTTTTTTGTGGATTCTCTAATTTCGGTCGTGGTGATTCATAATTACACATATTTGTTGGAATTCAACTTGCAATCCATACTCTATGCACAGTCGAATCTTATTCTAAGGCTGCTGCCGTTTCAATATGATTCATTAAGACTTACCATCATCAACAATTTGTCTCTTTCTGTCAAAATGATTCATGTCTACCCTACAATGAAATGGACATTAGAATAACCAATGTGTGAGAACTGCATGTTGTTGCTGTTTCTTATGGAAATAGAGCATTTTTTGCAGCCACATCTTTTGTAATCAGGAACTTCATTCTGATAACTGTACAATGTCTTTTCATATCAGCTCTGTTGAATGTATATAAAAACCAAGTTGCTTATCGTACCGACCTCATTCACTCATCTATTCTTTTGTTCATTCAGGAATATGTTTAATTTATTTAGGTTAAATGTGTCTTATTCATGCAGTTAAGGCTGGTGCATTCAAGTCCCGCAGCAAAGCGCAGGCATATTTTCTAGTTTATAGTACTATGAAAAAAAATTGCAAATTTTGTAAGGTGCTTATAACTTGAGTAATGTTAATTAAAAGCGTTTAGCCTGCACGAATTGAGAAAAAGAAAATTGTAAACTCTATTGTTGGAAAAATTTCGCCTTGAACTTTAATTTTAGTTGATTTACCCTGGACTTTTATAAATAGCCAATCTTCCCTCGGGAGTTGGATTTTGAAAATCTTCATCTAATTTTTCAACCATGACAACACATGGCAATTGAGGGTAAAAAGATAATTTTGTTTTGTTAAATTGGATGTAAAGCTGATACTTTACAGCTGCTAATTGGACTATAATGACTAGTTTAAAAGAAAAGTGCACAAATGTGTCATTTTGAGCATGAAAGAGTAAATTATAGCAATGATCTCTCAACTTTAATCAAATTGGAGTAATGGTTCCTCAATTAAAAATTCATTACCATTGGTCCTTCAACTTATCAAAATGTGTAGCTATAGTCATTTTCATCAATTTCATTAAAATTTTGTCAAAATAAGTTATGTTGGAATAACCATTTATATAATTAGGGTCCCTCAACTCATCAAAGTATGTAATTATGGTCTTTTTCCTCAACTACGTCAAAATTTTTGTCAAAACGAGTTATATTGGAATGACCATTGTTACAATTGGGTTAAAGTTTAGGAATCATTTCTCCAGTTGAATTAAAGTTGAGGGACCAATGGTAATGGATTTTTAGTTAAGGGACCATAGCTGCACATTTTGATGAGTTGAGGGACCAATGATAATGGATTTTTAGTTGTGGGACCATTGCTCCAATTGAGTTAAAGTTAAGGGACCATAGCTACAATTTACTCAGCATGAAATGAAAATTACCTTGAGTCATATTCTCTCATCCTTTCTTGTTTTTGTCACAGTGAATATAACTCACAATTTGAGAATGAAAGGAACATCTGTTTGAGTCCTTGTCACGCTTGGACCCGGACTCAGTGGAAAAAATAACCCGCACCCGATACGCAAGTAAAATTAAATAAAACAAAAATAAATGAAACGGGATGGAAAATAAATTTCTCTTATTTGATAATAAATTCTTAAGATCTCACAATTCATCATTCTTAAAATAAATCTCATACTCGAGATTTACTTTAAACATTGAATTACTTGACAAGTCCAGATTTTTCACCTTTGATCGGACTTTAATTTCCAAGTCAATTCATGGTTGTATGTAGAGTAAGGATTCATGTAATTTGACAAGTCGATTTCGAAATCTTAAGCGGCTAATTACGTGTGTTCATATCTAGTACTTAGTCGAACACACATAAACTCCCAAGAAAATTGTGGGTATCTTTGTACAAGTTTCTTAGCATACTATATTGTATTTCTTATTCCATAAATCAATCAACATTCCACTAAAATACAAAGTTCTAAGTAGCCAGGCTCTGGTTCCTTTAAAGCTAATATTCAAATGACACCACAGGTTGTCCAAGGTTGTCTAATACATATGCTTTGATACCATTCTGTCACGTCCCAGACTCTGAGTCGGTGAAAAAATTAACTCTGCACACGGTGATCAAGTAAAATTAAATAAAAACAAAAATAAATGAAATGGAGTAGAAAATAAATTTCGCTTCTTCGATAATAAATTCTTAGGATCTCACACTGGCCTCTACTCTCGTTCTTTTTTATTTTGGTCACGGGAAAATAATAAGTATTTGTGGTGAACAAATCTTCTACAGATTCGCTGATTGTTTCTACGGACTATTATCACTTGAACGCGATCGGTTCTGTCATGACACAACTTCAATTCACGGTGGCAGTCATGATTTAGGTTTATGGATTAATTTAGGATTTTAGTTGTTTCAGTTTATTCTAGATTTTGTCAATATGGATTTTTAAGTTATTTGTGCGTTTTTTGTCCGTTTTAGTTTTTTCGAATCTGATTGCTTTGGCAATCCTTAAGAAATTAGTGTCATGTACACATTTTTAATAATTTGTTGATTGCGCGATTTCAAAACTGAAGGCATAAAAGAATAAGAAAAGGTTGCTAATATGAATGGATTTAGGTTGTAAAATAAGAAAAGTTTACAGTAATACATTATGACTTGCAAAATTCATATTTTCTGGTACTCGGTAAGGGTTCTTGAATATCTCAGGTCCCTCGTTAGGTCGTGCCCATAGTTAACGCACACTAAATGGACCCAGACTGGCACATAGTTAACGCGCAGAGGTCCCTCGCACCAGCTGTAAGTGGAGCCAAAAATTAAGAAAGCATGATCTATACGGTAGTTGTTTGTTCGTTGTAGATCAATGAGGTTTCTAGTGAGCATAAACATAAAAAACCAACTATAGCACCTTAATTGGGATTTAAAGTTGGAATATATAATTTTGGGCCGCTAGGATTATTATCGGAAGGAGTAGTACTATAGTAGAAAAAGGCAGAAAAGGAACTATAGGATTTAAGTTTTGCAGACTTTCTCTGAAAATATAGAAAAAGGGAGTTTGTGCACCAATATCAGCTATAAAAGGACCGAGCCATAACAGATGAGAAATACGCTCAGATTGGTTTTGCTCTATAGGGGGTTTAAAACTTCATCTGCAGACTCATGAGGAATGTTCCGGTTTTGTTTCCTTGATTGGTCTTTATGACAATAAGCAAAAAGCAACAAATCCAACAAAGCCACGAGTATATTATCAGAACGAGAGAACAACAAAGAACAAAAAGACGGTACTCACCAAGGAAAATGATGCTGATCCTTCTTTCCAACCATAAATGACTGATGTTGGATAAAGAATTGAGAATGTTTCTCTTCATTTTCGCCAAAACAGGTGACGAGAAGCAGATGGGGAATCTGCTGGACATCCTCTCACAATATTTTCCAATGGTCCTTGGGCCTTGAATAAGTTATGAACCTGATGCTCTGGCCCAAATGAAAATTCATTATGTGCTGGATTCTCCTGTCTCATTCGGAATTGAGCCTGATGAGTACGGTGCCTATGATTACTGAGAAAGTATTTTCCTGTCCACATTTGGTACTCTGATGTTGACATTGACACATCTCCAGCAACAACATTATTCTGGCTACTAGGAGACATTTCCTGCTCGTACACAAGCTGGATTCCGAACTCCTTTATCCGAAAATCATGCATCTCCACCGAAACACGTATTTCGTCCCCATACTCCAATTCATTGTTTACAAATCGAAAATGGCTTAGCCATAGCATATCTTCCGTCTCAGTTGGAAAACCTACTGTGACTGGAGAATAGGTCCACATAAGACCCTTGGTCTGATTACTGACCTTAATCAAATGCATAGCACTAACAAGATAGTCATCAATAACCAAGCCTGGTTCTCTTGCATATAAAACACATGAATTCAAGCCTCGGATTTTGGGATTAGGATGTGAAGGTGCAATAACTGACAGCACAGATCTGTATCTTGTTGTGAAGCTAAATCCATCTGGAATCTTGCTTCCATGAAAGAAAATGCTATATATGCCACATTCATAGAGTACCTGTTTCATCAAGAATCTACAATTCAAATTTAACTATTCAAACAGTTAGGCCCAACTAGTTCATAGATATAATAATTAGAACTATACATGAGAGAGGAGACAGAGAAAGACCTGGACAGGAGCCTTCCTGGTTGTACCGGTCAAGTAGTTGATCATTTCGACATCAGTGCTTGATATGGATTTCAAATTGAACAGGTCCATATATCTTGTCATTTCTATGTCAGCGCTTCTCAGCGGTTTTTTATTCAACAAGCTTTCAACTTCAACTAAATGCTCACAACCCCAAAAAAGTGATTGCAATGATCTGAATAAGTTTGGTAAATTTGTTAATCTTTTCAATGATGTACAATATTTTGCTTCTAACCTCTTCAACCTTGGTGGGAGCTCTGGAAGAATTTCGAGGTTTGTGCAATTATCTAACAAAAGAGTCTCGAGCATAATAAGACTCTTCATTTTTTGTGGTAAGCACAAAATTGGGTTACCAATTAGATTCAAATGCTTCAACGAAGATAGTGTACACAGATCGTTGGGAACCTCTGACATGTTGCAGTAAGACAAACTTAAGCTTCCCAAAAAACGGGGTAAACTTGCCAGAGAGAAACTCATTGATTGAAGAGTCTTTCCCGGCCATGCCCACATCCACCAATACCTGATTGGTGTCCATGATATAATTGATAACAGTCTAAGTTTATTCATATCCCTAGATGTAGAGTGTAAATGAATAACTGTGGCACTGTCATGAAGAACAAGCTTTGGGCAACCAGTAAGAATAAGTTCCTCAAGAGACCTCAACATGTTCATTCTTTTTGGAAGCTTCATAAGACTTTTGCAGTCTTTTAGATTCAAGAAAATAAGTTTCCCCAAGTTTCCAATGGATTCATCAACATCAATCAAATTAATGCAATCCTTAAGAATTAGTTTCTCAAGGTTAGGGAGTCCGGACAAGTCAGATGTTGTCCTAAGGCCATGCGAATGACTGAGATTAAGAATTTTCAATCTTGTAAGAAACTGTGTCAAAGAGAAGTCATTAGTTGCTATGAATACACAGTTAAATTTCACTGAAAATTATTTTTGATTGTGTGTATTTTGAGAGAGAGAGAGAGAGAGATTAGAACATACCCTGGTTCCTTTCCAAACATGTTGCAGACTGCTCTTCCGTAAGTCAAGAACAACTAGATTTTCCAAACAAAAATTGGCTGGTATTGATTTTAAAGAGAATCCTCGCCAAGATAGCCATATTAAATTTTTTGGAAAATCTTCATAGCTTCCACTCAACTTTACATTATCAAGCAGAAGTAGTTCAAGATTGAGCATCTCTGTAAATGCCTTTGTTTCGAAACCTACCTCATTTAATACTGGAGATGACTCT